AACCTGCATTTAGGAGTGGCTCAATACTGGCTGGCCATATTCGGGCCGGAGTTGGAAATACATTTCTGGCCCAAATACTTCACGCCACAACCGGCCCTCATCTGGTTTGCCAGAGTCAAGCCAGTGCCTCCTTTGCCACGCCTGGGCCGTGTTCGGCCCACATGCGTTATGCCATTGCCGACACCAGGCCAGCTGTGCCGGCTTCATGCCGAAGCCGGGCCAGATGCCTTTGCTGACTGGGTTGGCATTAAGAAAAACCAAGTGCCTAAGCTTTGAGGGGTTGATCCTGTTTCTCCTCTCTGTCAGTGAATGCCAGCTTCTTGAATCTTGGGTCAAGAATGGTGGTTTCTGACAGAACAGTGTTCCATTCCATTCTGTGAAATTTTCTGTCCATGGATACACAGAGAGCATCCACTAACTCTTTCACTTTCCCTGTGGTTACTCTGGTCTGATGCTCAGCTGTCACTTTCTGAAGACCCTTGCAAAGGATCAACACTTTAGAGGCTGTAACATAGCTGAAAAAGAGTAAACAACTAGTGTTAAAATTATGCTTTTTATTTTTTTAGCAATATATATTATTATTTCTGGTCGTGTCTAATATGCTTTTCATATTAATAATGCAAAAATAGCAACTAATAAAAATGATAACTGAATTATAATAACATAGAATAATGTGATAACATTTGTACACTGTACCTGTCTGCACTGATCTCCACAGTGACCTGCTCAAATGGCTCCAGAACAGTGCATGCCTCCTGCAGTACCTCCCATTCCTCTTGGCTCAGAGGATCAACAGGTGCATTGATAACAGCCAGGGTAGAGATGACTGCATCCTTGGACTCCAGGATCCGTTTTAGCATGTGAAAGGTGGAATTCCACCTTGTAATACACTCTTGCTTGAGCTTCAGCTCAGGCATGCCCATCTGTTGTTGGGTAGATTTGAGCTTCTGTGTGGCTGTTGTGCTCCTGTGGAAGAATTCCACTATCCCCTTCACTTTGTCCGCAGTGGGCTTCATCACCTTCAGAGCATCTCTTACAACCAGGTTAAGGGTGTGTGCAAGACATGGGTGATGGGTCCATTTCAGGGTTTTAATTGCTTTGGTGATGTTAGCTGCATTGTCGCTTACACAGCAAACCACTTTGTTTTCCACATTCCACTCTTTGGCCACTTTGAGCAGCTCCTCTGCTAAGTTCTCAGAAGTGTGTCTTTCACTGAACTCAAAACAATCCAGCAGACAGGTCACCATTTTGAATTTTTCAACCAAGTGGCATGTAACTGACATGTAGGATGTAGTGGTTCGGGATGTCCAGCAGTCGGTTGTTAGACAAACAGCTATGGCTTTTTGGACCCTTTCTTGGAGTGCAGCACGTTCTCTGTCATATAGGCCTGGGATGATTCTTTGAGAAAGTGTTTTCCTGCTTCGAATTGCATACATTGGATTGAGAGCATGAGTATATCTTCTGAATCCTTTGTCATCCACGAGTGAAAATGGCTGAAAATCACTTGCAATCATTTCACCCAGTTCCTCATCAATTGTGTTCTATTTTGCTGGTTTTATAGCTTTTTGAATAAAGTGGCGCATAGAGCTCTGGGTTGTACATCTAGGCAGTTGTGGCATTGCAGCAGCAGCAACAGTTGCAGACACACTAGCACCTTCATTAATAGCTGGTTCCCTTGCTTGTCTTTTCTCTTCAAATTGTACTAATGGATGGACTTTTCTTATGTGCCTGTGCAGGTTATTTGTGGAGCCTGATCTATGGGATATTTTAACCTTGCACAGTCTACACACTGCCTTTGAACAATCAATTAAGTTGAAATAAGTCCAAATTTCTCTGCGTTTCCTTTCCATTTTCTCACCTTTCCGCTTTCCACCGTGTTGTTTTTTTTCTCTATAGCGCTAACTAGCTCTCTCTCGTCTCCCTGTCTCTCTTGTTCGCGTGCTGCTCACAGCGTGCTGCTGTGTCTCTTCTCTAACCCTTCCCCCTTCTCTAAACTGCAGTGTGTGTGTGTGTGTGTGTGTGTGTGTGTGTGTGTGTGTGTGTGTGTGTGTGTGTGTGTGTGTGTAACCCTCCCCTCCCTCTTCTACCACGGATCTTGACCAATCACGTGCGGCTTTAACCGAAGGGGGGCGGGGGGGTGACAAGAGAAAATTCTCTGGAGAAATTTTCATAAAAATTTGAAAAACCCGGAATTCCGGGAAAATCCGGAGGACTTTCATCTCTGACTTTAACCACATCTCTGTGGACTGCATGACGTATCGATTGAATCACAATGTGGTGGTTTTTCAGAGGATTTGGGAACCCTATTTAACTTAGGTTCAACTTGAAATCTCAACTATTGTTAAAAGACCCTCGGTAATTTTTTTAACAAAAACCAACAAATACTGTATGTTGAAAAAAAACATCAAGGGAAATCATTAGTATGCACATAGTGTTTGCTCGGAAATGTTCAAACCCTCTGGATGCATATTTGAAAAGGGATCGCCATCTTGAAACCTGTATACACTGAAAAAGGTTTGTTTATTGCCATCAAAACGTATGCGGGGCTTTGCACAGTCTCTCCATTCTTCCTTCCTTTTTCTGTCTTTGTATTCTCCATCGATGGAAGAGCAATCTGCTCTTCCTTGACAACTGCTCCATGCTCTTTGTGGCGAAAAAAAAAAAATATATATATATATATATGGGCCTGGAGCTCATCCCTGCAAGTGTTATTTATTTAAGTGTTATTTAATAGTGATTTCACATCAAACAGGAATTGTTTACACTAAACAGTATACAACATGAAAGCTGTTAAGGTCACATTTACTAAATGTTTACAGATGACCCAAAAAGCCACCTATTCTAATCACTCCGTAGAAAAACTTTGGTTCGTGAGCCAATAGGATTATGATTTTTAACTGAAAACAATTTATAACAACCACTGCCCTAGTTATCTTAGCATTTCCAACATGTTTACAGTATGTATACTGTTCTTAACATTCTTTGAACTTTGTAAATGGGCTTCCGTTGTTCCGTTGTTCAATCTTTGCCAGTGAAGTTCTCAAAAGAACTTAAACCTAATAATAAAACAGCTTTGCATCTCAGTCGAAAACAACCAGTCCGTTTGTCACTGTGCGTCTCGGCTGCGGATGTCCCTGGTCCATTTAATCATTGTTTCTGGTGATCGATAAAGGAAGATGAGTTTTGAATAAAGCTCTTCTTCCAGCTCCAGCTCTCCAGTCTCACGCACCTGAAATAGAATTCATATGTGTCAGTTTTAGGAGAATAACTTCAAACGTATCCTTTTTTTTTTTTAATTTTTCTTTCTTTAACTATTTACACATTGTGTTTTGTGCTGGGCATATTCTGTGTGGGGAAAAATGTAATGTGAAAAAATTTATATACAGAGGGTTGATATAGGGCAGGGTATCAATTCATATTTCCAAAATTGACTCGACTCAAGGGCCCACTTTGATAAAATTTATGGTTAACTTGATTTTTGATTCAGTTCAGGATTTTGGGCAGTACCAATTTTACTTTCATACAATGTCTTCTGAGAAGACATTCTCAGAAGAAGAAATGCTGCAAATAGTAGAAACTCCTTGTTCGAACTTTAGTGCATTAGTAAAAATATGAATATTTACATTAAGGATCGAGCCCAATACAGTTACATAAATCATGTATGTTTTATTGAACATGACCTGATCAAAACAATTAATAATTAAAATCTATTTCAACCACAGGGCAGGCTGTGTAAGTTGGCTTCACAGTACTATTCATCCACTAATGTCCCTAAAGTTCAAATCTCTGAGGTATGTACAAAACAGCTCTTTTTACAACAACATACATTACACAAAGGTAAGTTCTATTTTTTGATGAGGTGATTTCGGATAGCAGTTGGTTACAATAGATTCTACTTTGGGGTATTAATGTACCGGGAAATGAATACTTTTGCAAGTTATACTTTGTAAAAGAATTGGAAAGCCTTATATAATTTTTTTCCCCACTTTTCAATATACTGCCACTTAGTCCATCATGCAAAATCCGAACAAAATACCATATTTTCCACACTATAAGGTTCACCTAAAAGCATTCACATTTCACAAAAGCCAACAGTGCGCCTTATAATCTGATGCGCCTTCTATATGGATCAGTATTTTGATTTCTTGGATGTAGTATTTTAAATATTCTGTAAAGTGCTTGATCACAGCTGCAGCAGTTGTGAAAGCTCAATATAAATAAAGCTGTATTATATCGTATTCCCTTTGGCGTACCACCATCTAGTGGATGCATAACTCAACCGCAGCCACTACTGTGGCTTCTACTCTATGCACCTTATAATGCGGTGCGCCCTATCTATGAAATTAGTTTTAAAATAAGCTATTCATTGAAAGTGCGTGTTATACTCCGAAGCGCCGTATAGTGCGGAAAATACGGCACATTTGCAATGGTTATGGTATCATGACAAAATGTGCAACAGGGGTCTAAATATTTTTTTGCAGGCTACTGTAATACAAGACTACTGACCAGGAATATGTCCATACAAAGCTTCAGTATACGGTCCACACAAGGAAGCTCTTCAAACATGATGGAGTGAGAGATCTCACTGAAGAAGCCTCGTACAAACTTGCCAATGACTAGGACTACAGACACATACAAACCCATGATCCTAGAAAGATGGCAAAGAAAGTAGAATCATTTCAACAACCCAAGTGAACATCATATCAAATGTCTGTCAACATCTCAAGTCTAATCATTTCCCTCAATCCCAAAGAAAATCACAGTATTGTATCCGCAAATCTAATAATTGCATTTTCAGTACGTATTTTAATTATTAGCGGTTGAAATCGCGCAATGGAATAAAATAAAAAATATATATATCTATATTTTTTTGAAACTTTTAATGCCAAAATGTCTTCACAGTGATGTGTCCCAAATTAAGTTTCATGAAATGCAATATGTTTTCAGAAGATTCTAATATCATTTTGGGATATCTAAGATGTTTTTTCCAATTTCTTCATCTGTCTTTTCCATGAACAGTAACGCAAATGCATCTTAGTCTCCTCAGAGTTCCTTGATTTTGGGTCTTTTAAAAAATGGACTGTCTTTTTCACCCAATCTGTCTTTACTGTTGACTCCAATGGAGAGATCCTCATTATTGTTATTGCAAGAAGTAAGCTTAAATACCAAGATGGGGCAGCCATTTTGGATTCATGTAATAACAGACAGAAAAATACATACTTATCTCTGAGGTATGTATGAATTTGTCAAAGTGACAAAACTACATTGTAACTTGTTTTGTAAGTCTTGACCAGTATTACCGGTACAATTGTAGAAAGATAAAAGATTAACATTAAGTCATATTGAGTAGTTCGGATCATTTATGTATCCAGAGTTTGAAGGGCAACACATAAATTGTGCAACTCACAAGATTTTAATGAAGCTGTTTGTGTTTTTACCTTCACGCTCCTTTGTCATTACTGTTTGTGTCTTTCACTGGGCCACCACTACCATTTTATCTGTCAATAAGGATTGCCTTTACATAACAGTGGATTTGTGCGGCTATGTGAGGCATTTACACACATGAAACAAAGGAGAATTAGAATTTATTTTTCTAATCAGTATCTTTACCTTTGTCAAATTATATATTTTCATATTATATTATAAAATGTATTTCTTTTTACCTATAATTTCCTTTATTATATACAATCATTATACATTGGTACAACCATAGTTTTGATTTGGATTGAAACAACCTTGCAATCTGTGCAGCGCCGTGGGCAAGACAAAACAGCTGTCAAAACATGGAGGGAAAGGACAAAAGCATGACAATGACTGAAACATCCTGCTCAGGCAAAAAAGGGGTGACTCAAAGCTTTTACCTTAGTTCAGCACTTATTTATTAATTTATTAACTTTTACTTTCTCTGTGTGTATTTATTTAGCATTTTTGAATGATTATTCTGTTTGTCACCATAATAAATGAACATCCTCCAAAAATAGAGACTTCACTGCAAGAGAGCAAAATTACAAATTCAACTCGGGATAAAACAATTAAAATTAGTCATTTCCTCCACTGTATCGACATATTATTTTGTAATCATGATCATATCCGTTCTAGAATAATTCCCATGTACACGCTGCGTGTGAGTAAGCTTTCCTCACCCATATCCCGCCAGGAAGCCAAGACTGGGTGGACTGACTTTGTCATTGAATACAATCATGGACAGGACCCCACAGGAGGAAGGGGCACAGCCCTCAATGGCAATGTCCCACCATTCCTGTTTCCCACTGGAGTTCAGTGGATTGTTGCTCATCAGGGACAGGGTTATATTCTGGTACCTTTCTCCATTCCCTAAAATAAATCAACAACAATGTTAAAATAGACTTTCTTTTCTTTCTGCTCTAATAATGTTAGCGCAATTAGAACATTGAAGTTGTAAGGCACAGTTTTACCCAATCACAATAACCGGCATTTGCCTGTGTGCACGCGCGCGCGTGTGTGTGTGTGTGTGTGTGTGTGTGTGTGTGTGTGTGTGTGTGTGTGTGTGTGTGTGTG